TGGATACATGAGACCCTGTCTTCAAGCAGACAAACAACTACTGAACTGAACCAATAAAAAAAAGTCCTGGGTCTTGGATCATTCTCAGGAGAAGTCTGTTTCTGAGTAGGGAAGATTGCAATAAGCAAACAAGAAAATTCAGTGTCAAGAAATGAAACAAGATCATTGTTGAAAGAGGGACTGGAGGGTTTGTCCAAGTGAGGAGGACAGGAGCACCTTCTCCAGGAGGATATGGACATGGGCCAGAAGAAAGCACTCTTGTGTGGGGAGGGTCCAGGCAGAAAGAGCCCACAACAAACTGATCTTCAGCTAGCAAGGGGTGGTGGCATTCATGGACCAAGGGAGGCCAGAGTGTGTGATGATACAGAGGAGATGGAGGAGACTCATTTGGATTTTATTCTTGGTGTCAAGGAAAATTTCCCAAAATGTTAAGCAGGAGGATGATGTAAGCTGTTCTGGGTATTGTTTGCTTGTTTTGTTTTTAGAGACAGGGTTTCTCTGTGTAGCCCTGGCTGTTCTAGAACTTGATCTGTAGACCAGGCTGATCTTGAACCCACAGAGATCCACCTGCCTCTGCATCCCAAATGCTGGGATTAAAGGTGTGTGCCACCACGGACTGGTTGATCTGGTGTTTAAAAGCTCCCTTTTGCTGCTGCTGCTGGTGGTGGTAGTGGTGTGTGTGTGTGTGTGTGTGTGTGTGTGTGTGTTGGGAATTGGCCGTTGGCAAAACGCTTGTTGCACAAACATGAAGACCTGAGTTCAGATTCCCAGCACCCACATATAAAGATGGCATGGTGCTAAGTGCCTGTAACCCCAGTGCTGTAGAGATAGCTGATTGAAGTGATGAGCTCCAAGTTGGTGGGATAGAAAGACAGGGGAAACTATGGGGACATTAGAGAGAAAAAGAGCTCCTCTTATGAGAATCTGGTTGAAGCCTCTTGACAACAGAGAAAGAAGAATTCCAGGACACTTAACATCTTCTTCAGACCTTTCTCCCTTCCCACTATAAACCTGCAGTTTTCTAGGAATCTCACCAGGAACTCCATTCACAGGGCAAGGCCATGTTCTACATCTGCTGTAGAATCCTATGGCTTCTGATTTTCCCTTATCAGATCATAATTCCATCCAAAGCATCTTCAGAGACACCCTATGACTTCTCTATTCAAAAGAGAGGAAAAAAGGGAAGAGTTTTCCTAGCAACCTTTTGACACGTAATGTGAAAGCCACCAAAATGGTTTAAATGTCTAATGCTAAACAAAGGAATCTTGATTCTACTCTGAGGGGCCCATGCTCTCACCTGGGTGTGTCTTACTTTCTGATAGAATCTTTCTCCTAATATAACCCTTGTGCTTAAAGTCTTTATTAAAATGGCTTGATAAAATCTTCAATTCTGGGGGCTGGAGTGATGGCTCAGATGTTAAGAGCACTGTCTGTTCTTCCAGAGGTCCTGAGTTTAATTCCCAGCAACCACATGATGGCTCACAATCATCTGTAATGAGATCTGGTGCCCTCTTCTGGCCTAAAGAGATGCATGCGGACGGAACACATAATAAATAAACCTTTAAAAAAATATTAAATTCTGTCTCACATTGGCTAGTCCTGATGTTTTTCTGTGTTTTCTGTGTCAAAGTCACAGCCCTATGTCAAGCTTCTGAAAAGATTAAGGCAGCCCTCAGGCTGCTGAAGGAGACAGTGTGGAGCTGAGTCTGTCTCCTTACTGCTAAGTTTGGGAACAACAGAGGACAACACCTAATGTTGACCTGCAACCTCTGTACAAATTTCCTTGTACACGTATGCATACAAACATCTAAACACAGGCACACTAAATAGAGAAGACCCGGTCTGCCATTGAAATCACAGACTTCTTGACTCCACTTTTGAAGATGAGTTGGTGGGAGTGGAGCTGTGAGTCCTGACAACTTGATCCCAGGAGCCTGAGAAGTGAAGGGAGAGGACCTGCTCTTGCAGGTTGTGCTGGCTGTATGTAAACACATGCAATCATAAGTTGTCAAATGAATGCAAAATAAAATAGAAACAAAAAAGGCAAAGCTTGCCGGGTGTTGGTGGCACACGTCTTTAATCCCAGCACTTGGGAGGCAGAGGCAGGCAGATTCCTGTGAGTTCTAGGCCAGCCTGGTCTCCAGAGCGAGTGCCAGGATAGGCTCCAAAGCTACACAGAGAAACCCTGTCTCGAAAAACCAAAAAAAAAAAAAAAAAAAAAAAGCAAAGCTTAGTCCATATGTTTGGTAAGATTGCAAGCCCAGATATGTAGCTGTTTCCAGGTGCCCACTGCACCTCAGATGTGTAACTGTTTCCAGGTTTCCACTGCACCCCAGATGTGTAACTGTTTCCAGGTGCCCAGTGCACCTCAGATGTGTAGCTGTTTCCAGGTGCCCAGTGCACCTCAGATGTGTAGCTGTTTCCAGGTTTCCACTGCACCCCAGATATACAGCTGTTTCCAGGTGCCATTTGCTGCTGAATGGGTAAGTGTGGAGCACAGAGAGCAGCTGGATGGAAATTTAATGTTATGAGTTCTAGTCCTGGCTCTAGGTTTGTTTTGGGCACTCAATGTCTTCAGGAAATCATTGGAATTAGTATGACCTCTTTCTGAATGAGCTGACTGAAGAGTAAACAACATGCTTGTGGAGCACTCAACCCAGGGGCAGTGAACACTCAGGATAGGGCCAGTGAGTACTCAGCACAGGATCAGTGAGCAGTCAGCATAGGGCCATGAGGACCCAGCACCTGGAAGATGTTTGGCTCTGGGGAAAATGGGTAGCAGATGTAATTGAATGAGTCTGGCTGCTTTTTGTGAATTCTAGTCCTTTCTGGACCTCAGTTTTCTCCTCTATAATTAGATATCCACAATCTCATCTCATTGCCACAGGCTCTATGTCTGTGAGTGCTGAGGTGAGCAAGGTCTTTCCCTGAAGGATGGAACCCATCAGTGTTTTGGTCTAGGAACTCTCCCTGAGGCCTTGCAGCTTGGGTTGGGATGTCTTAAAGGATACCATCGCCCTCTTATGGCCACAGCTGACTCAACAGTAGTCTCTAGCTGGCTTCCTCTAGGAACTGCTGCTCAGTGACCAGGTCATTGACTTCCTGGTAGGGTTGGCTTTTTTGATAAATGTAGTTGTGATCACTGGTTAAGGTAAGGACTGCTGACCCTTTGGAAATTTATAAACAATTGACCAAGTGAGTCTTCAAGAGGGAGACAACCAGATTTGGCTTAATTTTCTTTAGGGACCCATTTGAGTAGAGAACTATGTTGCTGATTCTGTGAGGTTGAAATTCAATGTGCTGAGGCAGGGTATGGTGGTGCAGAGGCAGAAGCAGGGACAGAGGGACAGAGGGGCAGAGGGGCAGAGGGGCAGAGGGGCAGAGGGGCAGAGGGGCAGAGACAGAGTCAGGCAGCTCTCTGTGAGTTCAAGGCCAGCTTGGTCTACCTAGCAAGTTTAGGCTAGATAGGGCTACATAGATAGACTTTGTCTAAAAACAAACAACAAAAGACAAATTCAGTAAGCCTCAAACCTCGAAGCACCAGGGGAAATGGGGGTTAGTGAATGGTGAGGAGAAGGGCCCAGGGAAATGCCTCTGTTAAACAGAAGGCTCAAGTAAAGCCACAGGAGACAGCTGTCTTATTTTCCATTCACTACTGAACAACCGATCAGAGAGCAATCAGCTAGATATGTGAGTATAAGCAAAGATCTTTGTGTTGTGTGTACACATGGCCTCCCTACCAAATACACTTTCCTTGCCACACGTGGCTGGCTTTCACAACAGTCATCTTCCAAAAGAAATACTCTCTATACTCACTCAGAAGAGGTCCTTACTAAACTACAGTGAGAGCCATGGGGGCAAATAGGCAAGGACCCAAATCAGCACCTAAGGGGCAGCTCTAACATAGAATACAAAGCCCATTAAGAACAGTATTCAAAATGCTCTACCTTCTGCTCAGGCGGTGTTTTCTGTAAATCTTGCCTCCAAGTCCTGATCTCTAGCCTATAAAACACTAGACTGTAGTGGTTTAGAGTTGGATGGAAAAGCTTGAGGTTCATCTCTCAATCTCCACACTTGGCCAACAATAAATAGAATGATGAATATGGAAAAGTTTGGGCAAAAATGTATACTACAGCTTGTCATGATGGTTCACACTTGTAATCCCAGCACTTGGGAGGTGGAGGAGGAGGAGAAGAAGATCAAGAATATCCTGGGTTATACAGCCAGTTTGAGATCATCCTGGACTACATGAGACCCTGTCTCAAAAAAAAAAAAAAAAAAAAAAAAAAAAAAAAAAAAAACTAAACCCAGGGCTGGAGAGATGGTTCAATGGTTAAGAGCATTGCGTGCACTTTCTGAGGACCTGGTTTTGATTCCCAACATCCACAATTCGGCTTACAAACATCCGTAGCTACAGTTTCAAGGTATCTGATACTCTTTTTTGGCCTCTGTGGGCACCAGACACTCATGTACAAAGGCATACATATAGGCAAAACTCTTATATACATAAAACAACAAACCAATCAAAATCGAAAACCACCACCACAACAGCAGCAGGAGCAGCAGCAGCAGCAGCAGCAGCAGCAGCAGCAGCAGCAGCAGCAGCAACAAAAACTCAACCTATTCAAACCTGTGTAATCCTAGCTCTTGGAAAGTGGAGGCATAAGATCAGGAATTCAGCAGGGTTATCCTCGACTACACAGAGTTTGAGGCCAGTCATACACGGGACTCTTTCTCAAAATAAAACAAACAAAAAACCAAAACCAGCATCCCGACGCCAAATCAGATCAACATCATACTCCACTACAACGAGATAACTTATTATTCCACAGGTGCTTCCTTGCCAGTAGTAAAAATGGCAGCTTGGTGCCCTCCTCCCTCCCTCAGGTTAACTTAATAGTTGCCAATAGTCAAAATGGCCGCTACACCATGCATTTCTATTGGTCGCCGCTCTGAAGGTGGGCGGAAGTTGCTGCGCCGAGACTAGAGAATAGAGCTGCGCCTGCGCAAGTCATTGGCGCCAAGATGGCGATGGAGATGAGGCTTCCTAAGGCTCGCAAACCTCTCAGTGAGAGCCTGGGCCGCGACTCTAAGAAACACTTGGTTGTACCGGGGGACACGATCACCACGGATACAGGATTCATGCGGTACGTGAGGATTTGGGGGACCCAAGGCCCCAGGAGGCGGCTGCGGAGCTCTGCACGTGGCCTCCTGTCCCCTGGTATCTAAGTTACCGAGTTACCCGGGTCACATCCAGCACCCACAGTAACCCTCTCCTTTCCGAGCCTCGTGCTTCTGACTCCCTTCTTCTTGGGTGAACCTGTTTCAGCCCATGTTTCCCTCTGATCTATGGCGTCCGAAACTTTTGAGTCCTCAGTCTGAAGCAAGGTTTTTGAGCTTTCCTGGGGAGGGTTAACTGTGGAGGCTGGGAGCGGGACCATTCTTAGAGCCCCCTGCAGGGACAGTGGGCGTTGCTGGTTTGGTCACCTCCCTCGGTGTCACCTCAGCAAGGAGGCTGGTTTTAAAGCAGTGATTGGGGTCCGGGGGTTGAGCCAACATACAGTGCTTGAAAGGCAGACATCGTGTGGTAGTTAGGGTAAGCTCTGGAGCTGGACAACTGCCATCATTATTGTTATCAGTAGCAGTAGCACCTTGCTAAATTTGGTATCCTTACCCTGAAGACAGTGGTGACGACCGCAGTTGGTAGGGTAGTGAGGAACTGGAGAGGAAGGCAGAAAAGCAAAATCCACCATTGGATTACCACCAAAGATAAATCTGTGTTAGGTAGCCAGTCTCTCCCCTCTCACTCTGAGAAACGGTCTCACTATGAAACACTACTGGCTGTTTTGGAACTTAACTGTGTAGACCACTCTGGCCTGGAACTCAGAGATCCCCCTGCTTTTTCCTTCCAAGTTTTGGGCTCAAATATGTGGCTACCACACCTGGTTCTCCTTCCCTTCCTTTCCCCTTCCCTTTCTTTTTTTTTTTTTTTTTTGGTATAAATGAGGTTAAAGTGTTTATAACATTGCCTGTAAGCTTTAAGGTTGAGATTAATGGATAGTAGAGATCTTAGGATTCATTCCGTCATACTTTCAACATATCTTGTGTGGTTGAGGTACAAAAGTGAAAACCTGTGCCCAGGTGGTATTTATAATTTATCTAGCAATGAGACAGAAACAAGAAATGCCATTAGAAAGTTTTAACTGCAGGGGCTGGAGAGATGACTCAGTGGTTAAGAGCACTAGCTGCTCTTCCAGAGGACCTGGGTTCAATTCCCAGCACCCACATGGCAGCTTGTAACTGTCTGTATCTACAGTTCTGGGGGATCTGACACCTTCATACCACTGCACATAAAATAATATATATATATATGGGAGTTTTAACTGCAGTGGATCAGGGGAGCAGCTGGGAAGAGGGTGGGTGAGACAGCAGTGGGAAGAGCTCCTGTGTTGCCTGGGAGGAAGGTTGTTGGAAAGTGACATCTGAGTTGACCTGTTTAGGTTGAAGGAGATGCCGTGTAGCTCTGAGGAGTGCATCAGGCTCAGGGCAGGAGGAGCCTGTTAGCTTCAAGAAAGTTCTTCTAGATGGGAGAGGTCACCTCCAGTATGACATGGTATTTTTTCTTTGGTCTTGTCCTTCAACAGGGGCCATGGAACATACATGGGAGAGGAGAAACTCATTGCGTCTGTGGCTGGCTCTGTGGAGAGAGTGAACAAGCTGATCTGTGTGAAAGCCTTGAAAACCAGGTGAGCACGGAAGGAATGGAGCTCTTTCTTAGAGCATCTGGGTTGCACACAGGTCTCTTCCATCTCCCCACACTCCACAATCTGGCCTGTTAGGGGCCTGCTGTGTTGAATTCAGCTGTTTGTCATAGTTAGCTTCAGCTGCCAACTTGACATAAATCTAGAGTTAACTTGGTAAGCAGGAACCTAAACGGAAGAATTGACTTCATCAGATTGGTCTGTGGGCATGTCTGTTGGGAAAGCCCAGTCCATCCCTGGGCAGGTGGGCCTGGGGAGTGTAAGGATGCTGGTTGAGGGCTGTTTTCCAGTCTGGATGTCTGTTTCCTTCATACATTTTAAGGTGCCATTAGTAGAATTTGTGCTGAGCTTATCCCAGAGTGTGACCGGAATCAAGGTTGATAGTGCAAGGTTTTGGCCTAAGCGTGGGAGGTTGGGTGTGTGTGTGTGTGTGTGTGTGTGTGTGTGTGTGTGTGTGTGGCAAGCACTTACTGACCTGGCATCAATGGGAGAGTGGTTTGCTGTGGAGAAGGGGAAGCCGATGCCGGCAGTCTTTGTTTTGGGTTAGTTACTTTTAGAAGTGTTCATGAGCCATTTGTGTGGCTACTGATACTGGATAGCTTCATGACGCTCTCTCCCAAGAGCCGGGAGTATGGACGAGCCCCTGCCTCTCACCACTAAAACTCGGTGAGCTCACTGTGAGGGAGCTTGAGTAGAAAGAGACCTATTCTAATGCCTGGGCTTTTAGCAAAGAGCACTTCATCCTCAGAATCAGGGTGAGGGACCAGCAAAGTGCCTGAGCCAGGCAGGCATCGAGGAGAGGGCAGCTCGAGCCCCCATGGATGGTAGTGTGTTTCAGTGTCTCCTTCCCTCCATTGCGTGGTGATAAACTTGTCCCACCCCTATTCAGAAGCAAGTACTTTGTGTTTTTGTCACATAATCAAGCAAAGTTAGGACTGCAGTCTAAAGGAATGATTTGCAATGAGTAATTTCTTTTTTTCTTTTTTCTTTTGGGTTTTTCGAGACAAGGTTTCTCTGTGTAGCTTTGGAGCCTATCCTGGCACTCGCTCTGGAGACCCGGCTGCCCTTGAACTCACAGAGATCCGCCTGCCTCTGCCTCCCAAGTGTTGGGATTAAAGGTGTGAGCCACCAATGCCCGGCAGCAGTTTCTTTAAGGAAAACGAATGAAGTATATACACAGGGATTCTGAAGTCCCATCTGTTTACTCAGCCTCAAATAGTGCTTGGTCTGGTCAGCCTGCTGGCTACTGGGTAACCTTCTGCTTTCTCTTGCAGATACAATGGAGAAGTAGGAGACATTGTAGTGGGGAGAATCACGGAGGTAAAGTTGCTGTTTTACAAAGTGAAGGAGGCTGGTGGCTCAGGGATGGGACCTTCATTCTGTGAAATGCTGTATGAAGAAGGTGCCCTGAGATGCTGCCTTACTCTTTCCTTACAGGTTCAACAGAAGAGGTGGAAAGTAGAGACAAATTCCAGGCTGGATTCTGTCTTGCTCCTCTCATCCATGAACCTGCCCGGAGGGGAGCTGGTGAGTGCTTGTCTGCCCTAGAACTGTCCAGTTGAGCTGTGGGGCTTTTGTTCCACCATAGAACTCGGTTTACACTGTTAATGTTTTGTCATGGGGTCTGCTAGCTTGGTGAACATAGGCTTTTTCTCCTGGCTCTGGTCACCTGACATAGGCAGCAACTAGTGTTTGGTAAGACCAGAAACACATGTGGAGTGGGCTCCCAAGATGGAGCTGGGGAGAGGGGCTCCTGAATCTTGGTGCTAATTTCCTTTCTTGGTGGGTTGGCATTCTTGTGGGTTACACAGGGAAGGTGTCTGTGAAATGTTGGCCTTTGCTTTCTTTTCTTTTCTTGAGGGTGGGCAGGAGGTTGGTGTTCAGACGGGGTTTCTCTGTGTAACCCTGGCTGTCCTGGAACTCACTCTGTAGACCAGGCTGGCCTTTAACTCACAGAGATCTGCCTGCCTCTGCCTGTCAAGTGCTGGGATTAAAGTCATGTGCCACTAAGCCCCACTTATCCTTAGTTTTCAGTGACTTGAATGCACATGGTTATTCTAGACAGTGAGCTGGATCCTATGGAGAGTGTCAGAATAAATAAGGCACATCTGAGTCCCTTAAAGAACTTATAGATTGGTGGAGGATAGGAGATAGCTGAACCACATGGGGAGGCAGGAAAAGAAAGAAACATGGAGAGCAGAGAGGGGTTGTTTCATAGGAGGGCCCTTGGGGGTCTGAGAGTTGGAGTGAGGTTGGGACTCAGATGAAGGGAGATACGTGAGCAGACACACAGCCTGGTGGAAGTGAGGGTAAGTGGGGAAACAGGCTCAGTGACCTGTAGAGGGTCTGGATGTTAGCCTAGGAGGGTCCCTCTTGGAGAGCTAGTATCACCTCCCTTGTTCTCCAGCAGTTGAGGTTACCTCTTGTCATAGTTCTTTATGTTAAAATACCATGGTGGGCTACACAGACCTCAAGCAAAAAGCAGGGATGGAAAGAGCTCCTCCTGAAAGTGAGGCTTGTGTCATGTGGTCATTTTTCCGTGTGTTTCAGAGGAGAAGATCTGCAGAGGATGAGCTGGCCATGAGAGGCTTCTTACAGGAAGGAGACCTCATCAGTGTATCCTGACTTACAGGGCTGCCAGCTGACCAGAGGGGTCTGAATTCTGGGTCATATGTCCAGGGCTTGGCTGAAGCTTTGCTCTTTCTCCTTAGCTCAGAACAGTACTCTGGGTTTTGTAACTTGTGACCCATGGTGCAAGCTAGACACAATTGTCTTTCTTTTTAAGGATAGCCCAGGCTGGCTTGGAACTCACTGTGTACCAGGCTAACCTCAAACACAGCACTGCTGTCTCAGCTTCCTGAGTACTGAAATTTCAGGCATAGGCCATCATTCCTGGCCAAGACCCAGATTTCCTTTTTCATCCTTTCCTTTTATTATTGTTTTTTGTTTTGTTTTCCGAGACAGGGTTTCTCTGCATAACAGCCCTAGTTGTCCTGTTACTAGCTCTGTTACCAGGCTGGCCTTGAACTCATAGAGATCCGCCTGTCTCTGCTTCCCGAGTGCTGGGATTAAAGGCATGCCACCTGGCTCCTTTTTTATCTTAAAATCTTTCATTTATTTATTTAATTATTTATTTATGTGTGTGGTCACTGCTATTCTGTGCATGCGGAAGTCAGAGGACAACTTGCAGGAGATGGTTCTCCTAGCACGTGGACCTGGGGGTAGAACTCAGATTGTCAGTCTTGATGGCAAGTGTCTTTACCCACTGAGCCATCTCACCAGCCCTCAAGTTTTCTAAATGATATGAACATTTACCCCAGAGAGAAGAAAAGATTGTATCAAGATACTCTTGCCAATCAGGGGAAGAGGTGAGGTCATAGTGATGTCCCCTGGGGTCATGGAAGATAGGCAGGGTGGCCTGTCAGTGACAGAAGGGCAAGCTGGATGCAGGCAGGTGACATGAGTGGGCTGCCAAGGCTACTTTTGTTCCTTCATCACCTGGGCAGGCAGAGGTCCAGGCAGTGTTCTCAGATGGAGCTGTTTCACTGCACACGAGGAGCCTGAAATATGGAAAGGTAAGTCAGGCTTGGGAGACTTCAAGTTCAGTTCTGAATTCCCATAGCTCCTGGCATGCTAACCTAAAGACCTGATAGTTAGCTGGGTGTGGTGTGATGGGCCTGTAATCCCAGCCCTCTGAAGGCTGAAGTAGAATTACAAATTGGAAACCAGCCTAGACTATATAGTGAGACAGGCTCCCCTATAACCCCCATCTTAAAACAACAAAAAGCAACAACACAGAACTTAGTTGATGAGAAATGGTGGCTGGCTGACTGCAGAGGGTGGTGGGAGAGGGGGTTGCTGCTACCAGTGATGGGACAAAGGGTGATTGATGGTCTACATCCTTTTCCTTCTGAAGAGCCTTTTCTGGCACAGCCCCTCTGCTCAGGGCTGTGAGGTTCTGTTCCTTTTGGGAGATGCTCAACCTGGTATTGAGGCTGGCTGCATGTCTACAGAACTATTTCTGCAGTCTAGTCAACTAGATGGTGGATATTACTACTGGCAAAGATGGATTTCCTGTCTGAGCCTCTAAATGAAATTTGCCTGCTTCTGTGAGGTTCCATTATTGAGGTCATTTATTTTAAAGACAGCATGTTTCCTAGGACACATTAGGGTGTAGCTGTTTCTTGGCTTTTCATTTTCCGAGAGGAATAAAAAAGCTGTGTCCTTTGTGGCAGCTGTCATCATGTTCTTGAACATGTGTTGTGTGTGCTGACCTCCACAGCCTGTTGCTGTAGATGCTTCTTATTGGTATGTAGACCTAGAGCGACCAGTTAAGACCAGGCATGGGTTTGCCAATGAACCACATCTCGTGGTGGCATGGGAATTTGAGGTTAAGATCCAAACTAGGGTCATGTAATGGAATTGTTATGTGGCTAGTGGGAGGCTCCTTGTTGGCTCTAGTTTCTGCAATGATCAGCACACCTGCTCTGGATTAGAAGGCAAAGGGAAGTAACAGTATTGATGGCTACTTTCTTTTAATTAAAGTGTGTGTGCCATGTCACATGTGTGGAAGTCAGAGGACATCTTGTAGGAGTTGGTTCTCTCCTACTGTGTGGATTCTGGGGATTGAACTCAGCTTGTCAGGCTTGATAGCAGGCACCTTTACTGCCATCTCACCCACCTGACTGCCACCTTCTCTGGAATGTGTAAATAGCCATGGGCTGGAAATGTTTTCTGCAAAGTGCATGCTCTGTGTACATTGGGTGACAGCAGTATCCACAGGAAGGACAACCATGGGGTATGTCAGGATGTGTATTCTGAAACCTCTTTGCATTCATCTCATTGATTGCTTATTGCTCTTTTTGGTGGGGGAATGGGATCTTACTAGATAGCTCAGCCAGTCTGGTATTACTGAGCCTCTTGCCTCAGCCTTTCAGATGCTGTGCTCCCCTACCTGGCTTCAGATTCGTTTCCTTTTGTTGTTGTTGGGGGTTTTTGTTGTTGTTGTTTTTCCAAGACAGGATTTCTCTGTGTAACAGCTCTGGCTGTCCTGGAACTGGAACTCACAGAGATCCACCTGCCTCTGCCTCCCAAGTGCTGGGATTAAAGGCGTGTGCCCCATGCTTACTTTATGGTCTGTCTGTCTAGCTAGGTCAGGGAGTTTTAGTCCAGGTTTCTCCTTCCCTGGTGAAACGACAGAAGACTCATTTCCATGACTTGCCATGTGGTGCTTCAGTGATTCTGGGCAACAACGGTTTCATCTGGATCTACCCTACACCCGAACACAAAGATGAGGATGCTGGAGGCTTCATTGCAAACCTGGAGGTGAGTGAGCATCATGCAGCTGTTGGTTGTGAGTATTTGTGGCAGGTAGAATCTGTTGCCGTGTGTGTGTGTGTGTGTGTGTGTGTGTGTGTGTGTGTGTTGGGGGATTATGTGCCGTGACACATGTAGTGGGCAGAGGACAAGCTCCTGTTGATCCTTGCCTTTCTCTGCCGTGTTTGAAGCCTTCTCTGCTAGCTGGCCTATGAGCTTCTGAAGATTCCCTAACGGGTGTGTGGGATTACAGACTTTTGTGCTTTGTCTAGCTTTTATGTGGGTTTTGGGGGTCTAATCAGCAAGTGCTTTTAACTGCCAAGCCCTGCTGTGGCTTTATGTTGTACCACGTGACATCTAGGATGTGTCCTGAGAACTGCATTGTTGGCTGAGTCTATCTTTGTAGAGCATCACAAGTGCACTCAGAAGATGCTGCAGCACTGAAGTGGTGGTATCTTGGGGGCACTGCATCAGTGTGAGCTGCTGCTGCCTGAGTGCTGCTTGTGGTTCACTCAGTGCAGACTTTGGGACCTGCTGAGCTTTGAATGAGTCATCTAGAGAGTATTCATTAGTACCTGACTGTCTTCTCTTCCCTGAAGAGATGACTCAGTGGCTGCCTTGAGCTTTGTTGGTGATGGTGGCAAAGTTGCAGGGTAATAGCCAAAAAGCCATTGAAGAAGTAACAGAAGATGTGTGTGTGTGTGTTGGGGGCGGGGCGGGGTTGGCTCAGGTGGCAAAGTACTTACCTTGTAAGCATGAAGACTTGAATTCAAACCCCAGAAGCCATGTAAAAATGCCAGATGTGTTGGTGCACTTGTAATCCCAGTGTTTGGGGGTAGAGACAGGAGGATCCCTGGAGCTTGCCTGTCAGCCAACCTAGTCTTATTGGTCAGATCTAGTCCAGTGACACTCTGTCTCAAAGGAGGTGGATGGCATTCCTAGGATGAGACAGAAGGTTGTCTTCTGACCTTCCTATGCATGTGCACTCATGGGCATATGCACACGTGAACTTTTATATGTGTACACATTATAAACAAAAAAAAATACAGCTTGTTAAATGGTCTTGTTTTGGACTGCCAGCTTCTGAAAACACAGACTTTTTATTAATTGTGGAAGCTTGGCCTTAGCTTAGGCTTGTTCCCAACAACGTCTTATAACTTAATCTGTTTATATTAATCTACATTTTGCCATGTAGCACATGTCCTTGTCTGGCTGGTGAATCTCTTGCCCCTCAGATTCTTTCCCAGAGTTTCTTTTTTTAAATTTGGGTTTTTTGAGACAAGGTTTCTCTGTGGCTTTGTAGCCTGTCCTGGAACTCATTCTGTAGACCAGGCTGGCCTGGAACTCACAGAGATCCGCCTGCCTCTGCCTCCTGAGTGCTGGGATTAAAGGCATGCGCCACCACTGCCCAGCCTCTTTCTCTCTTCTGTGGCTTTTGGGATTGTTTGCTTATTTGGATCCTGTTTGTATTTCTTTTTTCCTTCCTCTTTGTGTCCCTGTGTAGCCGGTAGCCCTTAGTGATCGAGAGGTGATCTCCCGGCTTCGGAACTGCGTAGTCTTGCTCGTAACTCAGAGAATGATGCTGTATGACACCAGCATCCTGTACTGCTATGAGGCCTCCCTTGCACATCAGGTACTCCACCCAGACTCCCTTCCCTTGTGTAAGCTGGTCCTGTGGTTCTTCAGCATTCTGCTTTCCTTCCAATGAGTCCCTGCCATGTTCCCTGAGGTATATCCCCTATTGCTATGGATTTGATGTAGGATAGGGTTGTAGGTAGGATTTTTCTATGACAATAGCTTTCCATATTACATCTTACCTGTTCTAAAAATTCAGCCATCTTCTTGATTTTTTTTTCAAGTCAATAGATTTTTTTTTCTCAAATTAAAAAAAAAAAATGTCTTATGTGTATAGGTGTTTTGCCTTCGTGTGTATGAGTCTGTGCGCCACATGCATGCCTGGGGAGGCCAGAAGAGAACATCAGATCCCCTGGAACCAGAGTTACCGTCAACTGCCATGTGGGTGCTGGGAACTGAACCAGAGTTTTCTGAAAGAACAGTCTTCTGATGAGTGACTGAACAGTGTCTTTGTCAGCTGTCCCAGGCACCTTGCTGGCTTGCTTTCTAAGCTGGGTATGGAGCTGAGACAGTGTCCTTGCTCAGTCTCTGATGGAGTGCAGACTACACTGTATTTTAGCCAGACTTCTTGCCTCATTTAGTTGACTTGATGTTCTGCTTATGGTTATTTCTGAATGAACACATACCTTTTTCTTTTTTCTTCAGATCAAAGATATCTTAAAGCCAGAAATAATGGAGGAGATCATGCTAGAAACACGCCAAAGGCTTTTGGAACAGGAGGGGTGAGGCCAGGTGCTGAAGGATGGGACTGTGTGCCTCTCAGGAGCAGCCTCTCTGGAAAGGAAGAGTCTGCCGTATGGTGACTCTTCACTACATGTGGCCCGGGGAGGATCTGACAAACACATTATTCACCTGCAGCGGCACAGCAGAGCCAGGCCTGTTCTCTTGTGTTCTGGTGGCTTTGGACACTTGGGTCCCTTTCAGAGCACGCTGTCCCAGTCTGATGATATATCTTGGAGTAACTTGGAGAATCCATGTCTTCCAGTCATACCACCCAGCACCCCATGGAACTGTTCCACTAGAAAACACGGACTGGGGGTAGCGCTCAGGGGTAGGACACTTTCCTAATGTGTGCAAGGCCCCAGGTTCAATTCCCAGCTCTTCCCCCACCCCAGAAAAAAAGAAAACCAAAGAAAAAGAGAGACATGCAGGGCCAATGGGGATGGTCTGTTTGGACTTCTACTCCATCCCTTTAATGCACAAGTATGTGGTTGGAGAAGAGGTGGTAGAGTTAGGCCAACAGTGAGGTGGATAGAAGAATAAAATGAGCCAGCAACCTTTGTTGGAACCTGATTCCCACTGTGTGTCATTCTGGTGACTGGTTCAAGGAATCTATATACCACAGTGCTTTTGGATGCTTTGACAACCCCCCCACACACACACACCACCACCAAAATGAAAGGCAGCTGTGAAAAGCCAAGCCATTTCCTTGTATAATTGATGTGGTGATGTATTAACTTTTGAATAATTTAAAGTTAAAAGGAACATGATACAAGTCCTCAATGTAGAGTGCCAGTTCCTATGCTTTGTTTTTCTTATGACTGTTTAAAAATGGGTACCCTGGTCCAGCATGGCAGTGCAGGCCTATGTTTTCCACATGGAGGCAGAGGCAGAGGTGAGGCCAACCTGGACTACACAGTGAGACTATCTCACTACACAAAACCAGAAATGGTGCCCAAATTGACATTTTTTCAATTAACATACTTTTACCCCACTTATTTTGTGTGTATTAATTTATTTTTGTGTATGGGTGTGAGTGCATACATGTGGAAGTCAGGGGCACTTGTCCATTCTGTCCTACAATGTGGGTTCCAGAGATGAAACTGAGGTCATCTGGCTTGGCAGCAAGCTCCCTCCTTACCATTAAACTGGCCTGCCAGAGTGAGGGAAAGAGCCTAGGGCTTAGTGTATACTACTAGGCAAGGACATCTCTGAGCAATGGCTGATTTGGATGCAGGGTATGGTGGCACATGCCTTTCATCCCAGCACTTTGAGTTCAAGGCCAGCCTGGTCTACAAAGCCAAGGCTATACAGAGACTGTAAGCAAATGTGAGTGCTGGGTTTTGGCACTAAAATGTAAGTGGGTATGTTACAGCTCTGGAGCTACAAAGGTGTCCTGACTTATCAGGAAGTCAGGCTGCTTAGAGCTGCAATAGGACAGCTCAGTCCTAAAGAGAAAGGTGCCCTGGCTTTTCAGGAAGCCAGGCTACCTAGGACAACTCTGGAGGCTGGAGCTGCAATAGGACAGCTCAGCACTGAAGAGAACGGTGTCCTGATTTATCCAGAAGCCAGGCTACCTGAAGCTGGGGTACAGTGTGGGATGGTCTCCCTTCAGGATATAGCAATCCTGCTCCTCTGCTAGAGAGGGCCCTTACAGCTGAGCTCTTTTCTGTTCCCCTAAGTGAACGGCCTAACAGCTAAACACTTCTTAAGCGCTTCTTTGGCTACAGTCTGCTGAAGGGGAAGCCCTGCAGAAATGTAGTAATCTAGCCGGGTGGTGGTGATACACACCTTTAATCCCAACACTTTCGGGTGGCAGAGGAAGGCAAATCTCTGAGTTAGAGGCCATCCTGGTGTTAGAGTGAGTTCCAGGACAGTCACTCCCACTCCTCCCCTGCCCCCTCCCCCACCAACAAAAGCTACACAGAGAAACCCTGTCTCAGAAAAGAACAAAACAAACAAACAAAAGAAAATGTAGCATCTTTTCAGTGAAGTTATTTTTTCTGCTACAGAAAAAATATTTTCTTAGCTCCCTCCCTAAGGGAATATCCCAGTAAGTTTCTGATGTTGTTCTTCTCTGTCCTGGCAAATGAAGATCTTTACCCAACACTCTTCAGAAAGATTTATATGGAAAGGAGTCCAGGAGAGTGGGCGCCTCTGCCTGGGTAGGAAAGGACAGCCCTTAACTGAACAGGCAGAGGGACTTATATAGGGCTGCTTAGGGGAGGGGTTTTCCTGGGGACAGGTTTTTCTGCCCAGGGATTGGTTAGTTTAGTGGGTCAAGGGCAGAAATGGCTCTGGTTTCAGGACCAAACTGTTTCTTTCACTGATCCTTTTTAAACTTTTGGCTCTAATTTTAGGGCCAGGGTGTATTTCTTTCACTAGTTCTGATTCTAGGGACAGTGTGTGTTTCTTTGGCACCAGTTTCAAAGTCAGGTGTTTTCTTTTGGTTCTGGGTTCAGAGTCAGAGTGCTCAGGGATTGTTTGGTTTCAGTTGGACAGGGGCAGAGTTGGCTCTGGTGTCAGGGCCAAAATGGGTTTCTTTGGCTGGTTCTTTTAACCTACACTTTTCCCTTTTTGTTGTTTTTGTGTGTGGGTTGTTTTTTGTTGTTGTTGAGACACACTATTTCTGTGTAGCCCTGGATATCCTGGAACTGTGTTGACCAAGCTGATCTCAAACTCAGAGTTGAACTTGCCTCTTCTGAGTGCTGGAATTAAAGATGTGCCAAGCCCCCCCCCCCCCCCTTTTTTTTTTTTAATTTTAAAGAACCTACTGAATCTAGTTAGTGCTGCCCATCTGCCCAGGGTGGCTGGTCACATTTTGTCCACAGCCAGGAACAGATGAGTACCGCTGCTTGGTTCATGTTCTCCTTTGTATCCAGCACAAACTTAAGGCAATGAAATGCTGCGCCTATAGTTAGGATGGTTCTTCCACCTCAACCCAGTCCAGAAGCTTGCTGGTAGAACTTCTAGAGGTCTGTTTCCATGGTGATTCTAAATCCTATAAAGTTTACAATCAAGATTAACCATCATACATGGCATCACACTTTTTTTTTTTTTTTTTTTTTTTTTTTTTGGGACAGGGCCATAGATGACAACTTTTAATTTTAGCCTGTGGTACCACACATAACTGAATTTCTTGTATCTGTACTGCCACTTCAGGGGGGGCTCACCTGTTTTGGAGTTCCCAGGTGGTTCACCTCTATCCCCCCTTCCCTATTTGTTTGTTTGTTTATTTGGTACAAGGTTCCTCTGTGTAGCCCTGGCTGTCCTGGAACTCACTCTGTAGATCAGGCTGGCCTCAAACTCACAGAGATCCTCCTTCCTCTGCCTTCTCAGTGCTGGGATTAAAGGTGAGTGTCACCACTGCTTGTTGGTTGTTTTCCTCTTAAGGGGACGAGAATTGGAGCCTAAGTCCCACTCAAGCACATTTTTCCTAGCCTGTTTCTCCCAAGCTGCTGGCCATGCTTTTTCAGTGTTAGGGCAGCTTAGTAGAAAGAGGTCCAAAAGCATCTTCAGCTAGGTATGTTCTTCCGGTGGCCCACCAGAGGGCGCCCTTGGTAAGTGTACAGTAGGTATAAGACTAAGCTGAAATTTGTTACAGAACTTTATGAAAGTAAGGACAAAATTAGATTAGTTGAACCACTTTTTTGTTTGTTTGTTTTTGTTTTTGGAGACAGGGTTTCTCTGTGGCTTTGGAGGCTGTCCTGGAACTAGCTCTTGTAGACCAGGCTGGTCTCGAACTCACAGAGATCTGCCTGCCTCTGCCTACCAAGTGCTGGGATTAAAGGTGTGCGCCACCAACGCCCGGCTTAGTTGAACCACTTTTAATGAAGTTTTTTTAAGCTGTACAGGGTGCATCAAACATTGGTTTTGCATCCTATCAGATACTTGCTGGGCTCTGCTTTCTGTAGTTGCACCCTTAAAGGTTTTCTAGTGTTAAAAAGTAGTGCATCTTGTTTGTTATGGTGCCTCCTAGGCAGTCAGCTGTATCAAGACGAAGCTGAGTATCTCCTCCTCCCTGGCCACAGGCTGTCAAACTCATCCACGAGGATGGTGAACACGAGCTTCATACTTTGTAGGAGAAGCGCATGACCACAGAAGAAGCTCTGAGGCTCTCTCTGGTGAAGAGTGGAGGGTTATGTGATCTGAATCAGGGGTGGCAACAACAAACAAGGTTTTCCCATGAAGCAAGGCATCTTGACCCAGGGCAGAGTGCACCTGCTTGTAGAGTAAGGGACATTCCTGTCATACACCAAGGAGAACTGGAGAGAGGAAGTGAAGGTCTGTTTGTGGATGGCAACCTGAGTGTTTCAGACTTGGTTAGTATAAGAAAAAAGGAGAGAAGGATATTCATGGATTGACTGACTGTGTCTTGGCTACTGGAATCCAAAAGGGCTAGCAGAATCTGAAAGCTTTTTAGTCTCTCAAAAGATATTCACTGTTGTCAGAAAATCCTTGAAGAAGGACCAAAGGGTCCCAGACTCAGCATCTTGTTCCTCCACTAGTCTGCAAGGCAAGTGTTGATGTCAAATTGCTTTGAAGAAACAGCACACTAAGGAAAACTAGGAGGCTGTAGAACATGCTCAAACTTCTGGCCAAGAGAATGAGGAAAACCAATGAAAAACACTAGGAACAGATTGTCAGGAGATGGAGGCTGTCTTGCTGGGAGCTTCTGAGTCTAGTCAAAATTAAGTCTTTAGGTGGCTGGAGAAATGGCTCAGAGGTTAAGAGCACTGACTGCTCTTCCAGAGGTCCTGAGTTCAATTCCCAGCAACCACATGGTGGCTCATAACCATCTGTTATGAGATTTGGTGCCTTCTGGCCTGCAGTCATACATGCAGGCAGAACATTGTATACATAATAAATAAAAAAAAAATTAAGTCTTTAAGTGAAAGGTTCAGGTATTATGCTGGCCTGCCCCTGTTACCTGGCGGAACAGGCAGTACAGTACCCTGGTCAGCCCAGGGTTCCATAGAAACTAAGTCTGCACGCAGGTGCAGAGGGCCCCTTTAATCCCTGTCCATATATGCTCTCTCTACTCTTCTCTCTGCTTCTGCTCTTCTCTCTCTCTCTCTCTCTCTCTCTCTCTCTCTCTCTCTCTCTCTCTGGTGACCACCATGGCGGTTAGCCATTAACCATGTTCCTCTTCTCTCTTAGTTTCCCTACTCTGCCAGGCCTATAATAAACTGGTTAATATGTCTCATCTTGCGCTCCTCTTCTTCTTTATCTTTAATTTAAACAAAAATCTAACATTAAGAGTAACAAATAAGCCAGGCTTTGGTGACGCACACCTTTAATCCCAGCACTTGGGAGGTAGAGGCAGGTGGATCTCTGTGAGTTCGAGGCCAGCCTGGTCTCCAGAGTGAGTGCCAGGATAGGCTCCAAAGCTACACAGAGAAACCCTGTCTCAAATAACCAAAAACAAAACAAAAACCCAAATTATCAAAAAAAAAGTAGTGGATCTCTAGGAAAAAAATTATAGATGGTGGATGGAGCTCATCTGAAACAAAATGGAGTGAAAGCTGATGGCCTGGGGATAAAGATACAGCGTAAATGCAGGTGAAGACTCTGTAATGAGGACAGTGAGGCAGAGCTGAGCTTTGAGACCAAGTGTGCTCTCAAGATTAATAGAAACATTAAGTAGCTATCCCTTTGCTTTTAGGTGTGGCAACCAATTTAGGGAACTGAATGAAGACTTGCAAATCACAAAGCCATGCATGAGCACAGGTTGAACCAATTGCAAAGGATTGTGGGTCCAGGAGTGTAGTTTGCGGCATTAAGGCTGATTTTATTTTTAAATGGGTATTTTGCCTTTTCGTGTGTCTGAGTACCACATGATGTGCCAGGTACCTTCCAAGGCCAGAAAGGGCATCAGATGCCCTGGAACTAGAGTTACATATGGTTGTGAGTTGCCATGTGGTTGCTGGAAAATGAACCTGAGCCCTCTGGAACAGCAGCCATTTAACCATTGAGCTCCAAGACTGAGTTTTGTTTG